AGATAAAGGTAAATTCTACAGAAAGCCACTTAAGAGAAGCATCATCCTACCTGTGACAGTGGTTTCCCAAATGCCCAATCAGCTTGGTAGAAACACAGCTTTTAACCCAAAAAAGAGCTCTTCACATGTCACACATTAAATCCACTTCCCAAAAACAACAAGGTGCTTCAGCAAATACCCATTTTTACTGGTACAGATGCACCTTCATTGCTTTTTTTTTTACCCCCCCGTGAAGCAACTTTGCCCTAATTTTCATTCCTAGCTAAGAGACAAACTGGGAAAAGCTTTCAAGCACAGAATAAGATTTCTGGCACTGTTCATTTCAAATAACAAATAGAACACATTAACAAAAGTAAAAAAAAAAAAAATGTTAGACACAAACTATTTCTTTTTCATTCAAGGTTTTTCTCAGCTCTTAAGTTACTTCTGAGCCAGAGCAAAGGGCAAATTTCCCTTCTGGAGTAAATATTCCAAAGGGTTCTTGCTTTTTGTCCTACTGGCTAAAAAAAGCAGGGATGATGCTTGTGCTTTGAGGATGGTATAAGAGAAAACAAGTAAATCTCCTATTTTTTTTTAGATTATACATTTTTGGTTCACTTGTAAACAAAAAAAACTTGGACAGCATCAAAAACAAGGTTTTGGAGTTTTGATGTAACTATCCCTTAATTGAGGAATTTTTTAAAAAAAATTTTAAAGTTTCCCAAGTTGAATCTCAAGTTCTACAATACACATGAATAGAAATATTCCAATACAGTATTTACATATATTGGAATATTGTATATTGGATTATTGTACATTGGAATATCATATATTCCAATACAATACACATGCATGGAGATATTTCAGAAACAATTGGCTCCAAATGCACCCTGAAATGTGGGTCCCATTGCAGTGCTGGCTGAGAGTTCAGATTTCCCATCCTCAAAGGAAGATTTATTCAGGATAAAGTAACTTTGGACTCTCTTGGCTGACACAATGGACTTGGAATTTAAAAACAGAATCAAACTGCAGCTCAAGACAAGTAAATCTGGTCCCACTGAACTCTGTGCTGCAGGTACTGAGATACTCAAAAAAACCCAGTGAATCTGGAGCCTCAGGAGTTCACAGTCAAGTTTTAAGATGCTTCAGACGAGCAAAATGTGTGGAAATAATCACAATTGTGCCAAACCCCTCTCGTTCTTCAGGGAGTCAAATCCTGGTTTTGAAACCTAGAAGATGTTCTGCTGAAACTCAGGGCAATAAAACCCAATCCTGGTGTTTATGTCTGAAAAATTATCCTTTGAGGTGGCTGAAAGAAGCAAATATTTGAGTGTTTAAAAGGCAAAGCTGCATTAAAAATCAGATCTCTATGGTTGAAGCTGCCACTGAACATGTGGATGCCAGACAACAGGATTTGTGATCCCCCTTTTGGTTTCAACACTCGGGTTCAGCCTCCACCACAGTGACACAGAATTTCCTTTCCATAGCACTGGGCAAGTCTCAAATCTGCTCAACTGCTTTACACCAGAGCAAGGGAAGAAGAAAAGAAAAAGGAGCTGTGTTTCCATATCAATACTCACCTCTAAAATTACATTTAACATCAAGTTGTGCGGATTTAATTAAAATTTTAACCAGCTAGTAACCTGCCTTTCTTACATAATATATACATAATTATATAATGTGTAATTCTATATTTGTATATATATAATTATATATAAATATTTTATTATATATATTTAATTATAATTTATAATATATGTTTTATATATAATTATATATATAAATATATGATATACATTATATACACCTGCCTTTCTTACATTTTATATATATAACTATATTTTTTTATATATATATATATTTTTTTTTTTGCTTTATATTGATTCAAACACCACCTCTGTTGTGGTGTATAGTAAGATCTAAATCTCTCAGAGATGGACATGACCATCCCTTATTCAAATAACTTTATTTGAATTCAAATAATAATAATAAAAATAAATGACAGTATAACAATAACAATAATAATAATAATAATAATAATAATTATTATTATTATTATTATTATTATTATTATTATTATTATTATTATTATTATTATTATTATTCTGCCCATATTTGGTTGGCTTTTTTTAAATCCACGCAGCAGGACTGGGATTTTAAACCATAAACTGGAAATGAAACCCTACAAACTGGAAATTAATAATTGCTCAACTGCTTTACACCAGAGCAAGGAAAGAAGAAAAGAAAAAGGACCTGTGTTTCCATACCAATACTTGCCTCTAAAATTACATTTTACATCAAGTTGTGCAGATTTAACTCAACTTTCCACCACCTGGAGACCTGCTTTTCTTATATTATATATATATATATATATATATATATATATAATTATATAATATATAATTATATATTTGGAGATAAATAAATTATATATTATATATATTACATTTTATATATATATCAAAATACATAAGATTTATATTATATATACTGTCTTTTTTATATAATATATCTAATTATATATAATATATTGCTTTATATTGATTTATATTGCTTTATATATATTAAATCATATATATATTCAAATACATATGATATATATTATATATACTGCCTTTCTTATATAATATATAATTATATATTATGTATTGCTTTATATTGATATATATTGCTTTATATATATAAAATTATATATATATCCAAATGTATAAGATATATATTATATATCTGCCTTTCTTATATAATATAAATACAATTATATATTGTTTTATATTGATTCAAACACTCCCTTTGTTGTTGTGTCATAATTCTACATGGTAAGATCTAAACCTCCTAAAGATGGACATGACCATCCCTTACTCAGAGAATTTTATTTGACTTCAAAGCTATATAATAATAATAATAATAATAATAATAATAATAATAATAATAATAATAATAATAATACAAAATCTGCCCATATTTGGTTGGGTTTTTTTAATCCATGTAGCAGGACTGGGATTTTAACCTATAAACTGGGAATGAAACCACACAAACTGGAAATTAATAATTGGTTTTGCTATATCTAGCAAAATAACCCTAGAAACTGGAAATTAAAACTTCAAAATGTGCATCCTAAGGAGAAAAGAAAAAAAAATTCCAATTCACCCCTCAGAAGCAGCTAAAAATTATATTGTAAAAGGCACCACCCAAGCCATCAAGACAGGAAGATCTGAAACTCTTAATAATCAGATTTTTATCAATCAGCATCACAGATTGGATGGGATCAATAACAGCATCACAGTGATGCAAAAAGACACAGATTTTCCAGGAATTTTAGGCAGAGGAAAAGACAGGAGAAGCTTTTTGTCCATAAAATCCAGTTGAGAAAGTTGTATTTGATGTTCACAAAGTAGATCTGATGGAAATTCTGAAGTGATAAAAGAGGAAACAGGGCAGGGAAGGGGAAGAACCACCAAGGAAACCACAAAGAGCTCTGCTGTAAAATGAAGTTTAAAGACAAAAAAGAAAAAAACTCACCAAACTAAGCACCTTAAGTTCAAAGAATTTAAAAATGACAAAAACCCCCTCCTCAATAATTAGTATTTTTTCTTAATGGAATAAAAAAAAATCAGAGCAAAATCCATTTTTATTTCTTCCATGTGTGCAAAAAAAAAGGCTTGTAAAATCAATTAGAAAAATCTGACAAGGTTTTCCATACAAATAGTATTTCCAATACTGCTGACTGTCTCTGTTCTTAAAAAAATTAAGTATTTCCACAAATTATTCTCCTCTCAGGTACCTTTCTGGTATCTCCTGTCTCTCTAGGAAAGCAAGGAGATCTATGGAGAACATGATGTGTGCAGAAAAATATATAATTTCTGAGAAAGCTAAACTATTATACATCCCTTGTTTATTTTAATCAAAGTTACCATCAAAAATGTAAAGAAAAATCCACAATAAAAATCACATTCTCACATTGAAAAATGTGAATAAAATTTTATAAAATCTTATTTTGGTATCAACTTGAACTATATAGTTAAAACATCTTTATTAGATGGCCTGCAACGCTGGGATGTGCCACTAGATGGCAAGTTTGGATAAAAATTTAGCCAAATTTTAACTCGTGGCATGTTTGAAAATTCCAAGGGCATAGGAAAGAAACGATCAGGAAAGAGAAGAGGAGGAGAATAAAAAACGGAAGAGTTCAATAAACTACAAACCTCGGGCACATTTAATATTAGTCAAAAAAGGTTATATGGGTTTTAGTTTTGTTGCCACATCTGCCACACAAATAGATAATCAATCCTTGGGAATTTACCGCTCACAGGCAGGGAAAACCACCTGGATTAACATCCAGCCTGGGAGGTTTTCAGGATTCAAAGGACAAAGGGCCTGCTCAGAGTGCTCCAGATGAACGTCTTTAAAGTCATGTTTTAAAGAAAAACAAGTTAAAATCACTGCTTTACATATTCTTCCAAGCAGTGCCTCAAACTGAGGAGCCCAGAGTGCTCAGCTGACTACCTGAATTATAAGAAGCTACTCCCATTCCCAGGAAATATTCCAATTTTCCTCAGGAATAAAGCTCTTGGTTGTGTAATCACACACCTTTCTCTGTTCACTCCAGACTTTTCTCCACCTCTTGCATTTGATTTTTGTCGCCAGACCACACAGAACTTTCTGCCTGGTTTTAAAAGAAAACCAAATTCTGCCTTTTAAATCAGTTCTTTCAGTAGCTGAGAAAAAAAAGCCTTGTGTTTTTATATTGCAGAAGCATTAAAAAGTTCTTAACTGAAATATAACAAATAAAAATACAGCAATAGATAGAAATATAGCAAATATAGCTGAAAAATTAATTCCCCCACGGTGAAATTCAGAACTACAACCAAAAGGTAATGAAATAGAGCAGAAATTAAACTTCTTGCTTACCTGTAACACCTGCACAAACCTCTCCAAACAAAAATACCACGAGGTGGATTTAGGAGAACACTGAATTTGTCTTGTAGGGCAAATCTCAGACAACTGAACTAAGCAGAACTTACCTCATCAGGAGAGAGAAGGTAAAGAGGTGTCAAGGTGGGAAGTTCACTCAATTCACAGCTCAGGCCAAGTGACACCAGGATCTCCTTGAGAACTTCATATCTCTTGGTGTTGCTCATCTTCAGCAAATTAAAATCCTCTTCAGTCTGGACATCCATGGAATTGCTGTCCAGCTCCAAGTGGGCCTGGCAGGATATGGGCAAAGGGAATTAAAAAAAAAAAAATCAGTTTGCAGTTCAGGGATCACAGCTGCCAACCCACTACAATTTTCTGTGAAATCTATCCAAAATATCTCTTCTTAATAAACTGGGGTTTTCCTGGAGGAGATGTTCAAACCTGTATTTACTCATGGAGTTTATCCTTCTGCTTTTCATGTGTGCCAGAACCAACAGCAAGATGGGTCATATTGTGGCTTGTACCAGAGAAGAATTACATTAAAATTGAAAGAGTTTTACCAGAGGTTGTAGAAGATCTGAAGAACTCAGAGAAGTCCTTACTGTGCCACATGAATTAAGTGGAAATCAGTGCAGATCAAGAAATGCTTCTGTCTAAAAAAATTACTTTCTCACTTGGTAGAGAATCACTCCTCAGGGCTTCAGCAGATGCTTAAAAGTAGAAATTAAATAAAACAGAAAAAAGAAATCCTTTATAGACCTCCTTTTTTCTGGTTATCTTTTAGTGTTTGATGGGTTTTGTGAGGGTTTTTTTTTGGTTGGTTGGTTGGTTTTTTTAAATAATTGTCTTGACATATTTAGAAGACCTCATACTCTCCTACATGCAGATTCATTTCATGAAAATTACAAGCTATTCTTTGTTCATTTCTTCAATTTTGCACGGTTTAATGACGTTCTTCATGTTTCCTATATGATCTGCTTTATTGAAATTCAGGGAAATGAATGACAGTGGATGTCCCTGGATCCCTGGAAGTGTCCAAGGTCAGGTTGGACAGGGCTTGGAGCAACCTGGGCTAGTGGAAGGTGTCCCTGCCCATGGCAGGGGGTGGCACTGGGTGATATTAAAGGTCCCTTCCCACCCAAACCATTCCATGACTATAAAAAAAAGGAAATGGGGGTAGGACACACACACCAGAAGAGTATAAAACCAAGGGGAACATTTCTGTGACAGAATATTTACTGGCTGATGTCACTGCCTGTCCCCTGAAGAGAAAACAATAAGGCTTTTCAAATCCACACTGGAAGTCATTTAGGATTATAAAATGACACACTAATCCTCTTAATCTGATTTTTGAAGCTGTGCTGTAATGCCCTTTTTCTGGGGGGGGGAAACCTCTGCAGTATTAAGTTTTACTACAGCAGAAGGGTCACTTTAAAGGCTGCAGTAGAGCAGGTTTTACCCTGGAGCTTGCAGAAACAGTTTCTAATCGATTTTCTAGTCCAAGTATCCAGCACATGGGTGGCAAAGTTGCCTCCCAAAAAAACATGCTACTATGTCTAACAGTTTCCAAAAAACGAGCAGATTTAACCTGAGAAACTGGTAAGAGATGGAAACACTTCTAAGAAAGCCCAGGAATGTTTCTGAACTACATAAAAAGTAGTAGCTAAAAAAGTATTGGTACCTGATCCTTGAGCAGTGAAATTTGAGCGCTCTGGGCTCCTGAGAAAGTTCTCTACTTAAAATATTGATAAAAACATAACCTTTCATAAAGCTGTGTCTCTATTATATTCCTTAATTTAATTTACTTAAACACTGGTAAATAAATCTTGCTCTGCTTTTTTCAATGTGCTTGGTAGATTCATACTTCCAGGGCACACACTTATTTTCTAAACTTGGTGGTGCTTCTTATCAGCCTTTCCATCACTCAAAACTTATAGCTGTGAATATTTAAATAATCAGCTGTGAATATCTAAATAAACATTTACCTTTAACACACCTGTTATCCACAGAGAGTAACATTAACAGAAAACTTTATGAACACTTGAACTTCTCTGTTGTTTAATTTTTTGAGGGTTTTGTTTGGTTGATGTGTTTTCTTTTTTACCAGAGAACACAACACCCTAACACTGGAGAGGCACCTCTGTGCTGGGATATTGTTTCTAAGTGGAATGAGTAAGATTTTGGCTCATTCACTCCCCCAGGTGCTCTGAGCTATTTGATAAGTAACAGAATGTTAAACATTTAAAACTTTAAAGCCTGAAGACAGACTTGGGAAATATAAAAGCAAGTTTCCAGCAGGGTTTATTTTACACTCTCTGCTTCATCACAGTTCATGTTTTAGTAAGAATGGTTCTTTTTTATTTTGCCAGTATAAGCTTTCACCCCAAGCCTGTTAAAATTTCATTCTTCCTGTTCCTGCCTCCCAAAATCTGCAGAATTCCCCCCTCTGTCACTGCACAACCTCCAGCAGGCAGAAAAGGAAAGCTCTGCTCTTGAGGATCACAGGATCCCAGAATAGCTGGGGTGGGAAAGGACCTCTGGAGATCCAACCCTCTGCCAAGGCACAGGCACCTGGAGCAGGTGACACAGGAACACACCCAGGGGGGTTTGGGATGTCTCCAGAGAGGGAGACTCCACACCCTCCTTGGGCAGCTGTTCCAGTGCTCTGCCACCTCCCAAGGAAAGCAGCTCTTCCTCATGCTGAGGTGGAACTTTTTGTGTTTTAGTGCTCCTTGTCCTGACCACTGGAAAAAGTCTGGCACCATCTTCTTGGCACCCACCCTGGAGATATTTGTATGGATTGGTAAGTAAGACTCTTGCTCACTATGCAAACCTGCTCTTTCTTCCAGCATCCTCTGATCTTTCCTGATGTCCACCTGCCTGGCTCTGTGGTGAAAACAGGGAAGTGGAACAGCAGTGGCATTCTTTAAGATCAAAAGAAAACCATTCTGCATTCAGAGTCCTTGTATCTCCACCAACACATCCATCTGCACCTCAGGGGGTAGGGAGGCCCTGGCCCAGGTTGCCCAGAGAAGTTGTGGCTGCCCCTGGATCCCTGGAAGTGTCCAAGGCCAGGTTGGATGTGCCTTGGAGCAACCTGGGCTAGTGGAAGGTGTCCCTGCCCATGGCTTGGGCTGGAACCGGATGATCTTTAAAGTCCCTCCCAACCCAAACCATTTCACACTTCTTGACAGGAATCCCCAAGATCATGCAATGGGAAAAAGTGAACTTTTCCCATGTAGCAATGTGCAAATTAATCCTTCCACATGCACAGTACCTGGCAAAGAATGGCCTCTCCTCCACTGTCTCCGTGAGTCAGATGAACAATAACCGGGTCTTTCTCAGCATTATTTAACCGACACAACGTCTTCACTTTGTCAGTGTCTTCCTTCCTTCCTTCCTCAAAAACACAGCCACTGACCACGAGATCCAGCTTCATTTCAGGGCTGTCCTTTTTAGAGACCACCAGCTCGTGGACAGTCCTCCTCAGCTTGTTTTTCCGCTTTATCCGAACGTTGCCAAAAGCGAAGGACGAAGAAAGCCCGAGAATCTTCCCGCCTTTAGATAAAAATTTCATGAACTGCTTGTGGTTCCCCTCAGAAATAGGCTCCTCCGTGGCAATGACCAGCAGCAGGGAGTTGTCAATCCAGGGATCTCTCAGCACTTGCTCCTGGTGCAGCTGGTAGATGGTGTAGCTCTCGGCATCGACGCATTCCCGAAGGATTGATCTGACCTGCTCAAATTTCCCTTTGGCCCTTTCAGAGCCAAGGTAAATCAACACATTCGGGGGCTTCCCAGCAAGGTTCATCCTCTTTATCCCTTTTTCTAGACAGTCATCCTTCTCCTCTTCCAGCTTGCTGCTGGAATCATCAGGAAGCTCTGGAATGTTTTCTGCAGAGGCAAATTTAACTGATTCAATGGTGCTGTTTTCCAGTTGCAGGCACTCGTGGCAGCTGGAAAGATGCAAGTGGTGATGTTCTCCAGACAGATTGTTGGGCTCATCCTCGTGATCACCTTCCTCCTCTGGCTTGGATTTCTCCTCTTCACTTTGTCCTCCCAATCCTGATTTAACAGCAGTCCCAGCAGGAGTTACTTCATCCATTTGTGTGCTTTGCTCTTTCACGGGTGGTGCCTCCTGTGCCAACTCCTTCAGAGCAGATTCCTGTAAATGGACAGCTGGGAAAGGTAAAGGATACAAAAACAGGGGTTAGAAAAAGAGTATTAAAAGAGCTGTTATAAATATTACTAACAGAGCAGGATTTCATTGAATTTCAGCACAAATCACCTATAACAGCATAAATTTCACTTGTTTGACACCAAATCCTATGTCCCCCCTCAAGAAGAAAATAAATTTTGACTTACAACACAAGTCTAATGGCTCTTTGTTTCAGAGGACAAAATGAAGCAAATGAAACACCTTGGGAAAAGTACTGATCTTTTAAGGAGAGCAGGGTGGAAAATCACTTCCTGCTCTTTTGAAACAGTTTTGAAATAAACTATTTTGAAATAAGCTAATAAAGTGATGATGTTGGGCAAGACTGAGATATTGAACATTGCTGAAGGCTGCAGATAAAGGTTTGGCACAAGCAAAGGGAGTAAAAAAAGAACTGAACTGCTTTCAGGCTGCAGAAAGGGGGAGAGAACCAACCACCAGCAAGATCTGGGAGCTAAGAATCCAAGGAAGTAAGAAGCAAATACGAAGAATTGTTAAACCTTTTCTCCCCCTGAAAACAACAGAATGGCAAAGATAAACAATTTATAGCAAACACAAGTAAGAAAAAAGGAGCAAAGGTGATTATTGTCAGCATGAAACTTGCAGAGCCAACTAATTACGAAAGAGGAGAGAAAAATATTCTTCAGAAGGGAGGGTTTTTTCAGCTGCTGAGCCACGAAAATATTTCAAGTTTTAGTCTGAAAAAATGTACTGCATCCTTTTCCACTCATACAAGACCAAATAAACTTACTGTGCTTTTAATTTGATGAGAAATTCACTTAACAAAGTTTTGTTACAATACACCAGATGTAAGTTCAATCCCTTTCTTCACTTAACAACACTTGCATTCCCTTGAAACTATATCCCCTTTGGAGCAGAAGCTTGAAGTAAGGTTGTTTGATATCCCAAGAGAATTTCCCAGCTCCCAGCTTACATGTTATTCCATCACCAGCCCCCACCAGCCCCATTCTCCTGGATCGACATTTTTAAAAAAAAAAAACAAAACCAAACCAACCAACCAACCAACCAAAAAAAAACAAACCAAAAAAAAAAAAGCCACACAAAAAAATCCCCCCAAAAAAACCCCCAAAAAAACAAAACAAAAAAATAGAAAAGCAAGCCAAAAAAAAAAAAAAAAAAAAAAGCCAAATGGTTCTCGACCCACATTTAGCTTTTAATACACTTCTATTTCAAATATGAAAAAGAAGAGAACATCTGCCTCAAAATTTCTGGGTTTGTTTTTTGGGTGGGTTTTTTTTTTTCAAACACATTTGTTAATGTAACAGCCAAGATTTACAGAAACAATATTTTTTAACTTCTCCTTTGTGACAGTCACACAATCACGTATTTGCAAATGGTTAAACACCACCTTGGCTACTTGGAGATCTCATCATACTCAGGTTAATTATTGGTAGCAGCTTATGAGGCTTTAAACAAAGAGGAGGAGGTTATTCCAAAAATCTTCAGATCCACTTTGCTGTTATTTCTCTTATTGCTTTTGTAAAACATTCTGTAAAGAGGGAAGGTGTTCAGTTTTACAAGGATCTCTATATTTGACAATATTCAGTATAAAATGGTGGCAATTCTTCCCTGTGAGGGTGGTGAGGCCCTGGCACAGGTTGCCCAGAGAAGCTGTGGCTGCCCCTGGATCCCTGGAAGTGTCCAAGGCCAGGTTGGACAGGGCTTGGAGCAACCTGGGCTGGTGGAAGGTGTCCCTGCCCAAGGTAGGAGGTTGGAACTGGGTGATCTTTAAGGTCCCTTCCAACCCAAACCATCCTGTGAAAACACAGTCGAGCTACAGAGTCATCAACTGCCTCAAGAACACACTGAGCCAAAATAAAATGCAAGTTTTTATAAGTAGGTATAAAGACTACATGCAAAATCCTAAAACAACCACGAAACAAACCTGTTCTTTTAAAAACCATCATGAAATACTTACAAACAATCTTGTGTGGCACCATTCCATTATCCATTTGAAGCCTGTCTTCCAAGAACGCTATTCCAAGGCTACTGAAATTATCTACACTTGCTTCAGCAATTAACTTAAAAGGTTCACCAGGTTTATAGGCCAATGGTGAACAATAGTCTGACCACTTCACGACCTAGAATAAAGCAGAGGAACCTTTTTCAGTTTGAAAAGGTTACAGAAAAACATCCAAATATCAGCAATATTATGAGTTTTCAAGGTGAACTGTTCAAGATTCGAATACAACCCAAAGAACCTGCTGAGGAAGGGTCATTTATGCAGCAAAACCTGCTACAAGATTCAGCCCTGACAGGAGAAAACAACAGCAACATCCACACCAAGTATTCATAGCAAATTGGGAGTACAAATAAATCATTCCCCAAGCCCAAGGCTATGAAAGTTTCGAGTAACACAGAAAATTCCAGCAGAGCATTAATCACATTCTATGAAAAAAAAAATTCTATTTGTATTTATTTCCTTCAGCACAAATTCTAAAGGAGAATGCTGATTAAAAGGACAAAAGCGAACTGCGAGGGTTTAATCAAAGTACACAGTGATTATTAGAAGTATTAACTAAACCCTGAGGGTTCAAGCCACTTATCTACAGCAAAAATCCCTTTCTCCAGGAAATAAACATTATGCAACTGGGATACACACTCAGATACACAAACCAATTGTTCTGTGAAAGTGTTTTTAGAGACAATGAAGCACCACCTGTTTTCATGACCTAAAAAAAATTAGCCTTTGCCACATAATATATTCCAATTACTGGGAGACAAAAGTGCAACTCCAGAACTTTGACACTGCCAACTCCAAACCACTTCCATGAAGTTCACCTTTTTGTCATCACACAGAAGATGTAACACACTGATTAAAGAGGAAAAACACTTAATTTGAATGCACAAAATGAGGGTGAGCTCTTGGGTATTTTACTTGTCAGTATGTGATTATCAGTTAAATTTACCTTTTCACCAACTGCAGTGAAGTGGTTTGCACAATATTCAAAAGAATCCAGCTCCAACTTTTGCCTTTGGAGTATATCCCAAGGGAACAAGAAGAAAGAAGGAACTGAGAGTTCATCCAATCTAAATGGCTGTGTCTCCTTTCCAAGTCATTCTCAAAGCCAGTCTCTGACTGGCACAACCCAGGTGAGACCATTCAGTCGTGGAATCATGGAATGGTTCAGGTGGGAAGGGACCTTGAAGATCATCCAGTCCCATCCCCTGCCATGGGCAGGGACAGTTTTCCCTATCCCACATTGCTCCAAGCCCCATCCAACCTGGCCTTGGACACTTCCAGGGATCCAGGGGCAGCCACAACTTCTCTGGGCAACCTGGGCCAGGGCCTCCCCACCCTCATAACCAGGAATTTCTTCCTAATATCCCATCTAATCCTACTCTCTGGCAGCTTGAAGCCATTCCCCCTTGTCCTGTCACTCCAGCCCTTGGAAATAGTCTCTCTCCATCTTTTCTGGAGCTCCTTCAGGTCCTTCAAGGCCAAAATCAGGTCACCCCAAAGCTTCTCTTCTCCAGGCTGAACAATCCCAGCTCTCCCAGCCTTTCCTCCCAGTAGAGCTGCTCCAGCCCTGGGATCCTCTTGGTGCCTCCTCTGGACTCTCTCCAGCAGCTCCATGTCCTTGCTGTGCTGGAGATCCCAGAGCTGGATGTAGCAGGTGGGGGTCTCAATCCATACTCATATTGATGGCCTTTGGGTATCTAACAAGAAAACTGGCTGGGTACCATCTGGTACATTACTTATCCTGATCCTTAGTGAAAAAATCCCATTTCCAAAAGGGAAAGGAGAGCAGTGTGTGGGTGTTTATCACAAGCCCAGCCTGCATGTTTTTAAGTTCTGGGTCAAACTTCAGCTCTTTGACACAAGAGCAAGTCACAAGTTCAAGCCAGAACACACAGTTGGTGAGAACCAGCCCTCAAATCCATGGCAGATGGGTCCTGAACTCCTGGGAATAACAATCACTCACTCCAATGGCGAGCTTCCACCTTCAGGACTTTCTGAAAGCTCATCAGCACAACTGTACCACAAAGCAGTGCCAGCCCTGGAGTTACAGGGTATATTTTGGAACAAAACGTCCTCCTGGAAAGCAGCTACACCAGATCACGATCCACTGGAATCCCTGGAGTCAGAGCCAGTCAGACCTCACCCCACTGTCACTGGGGATGTGTGTGACCAAGTCTGTTTAATATCTTTATTGATGATTTAGATGAGGGGATTGAGTCCATCATCAGCAAATTTGCAGATGACACCAAGCTGGGGGGCAGTGTGGATCAGCTGGAAGGCAGGAGGGCTCTGCAGAGGGACCTGGACAGGCTGGAGAGTTGGGCTGATTCCAATGGATGAGGTTCCACCAGGCCAAGGGCCGGGTCCTGCTCTTTGGCCACAACAACCCCATACAGTGCTACAGGCTGGGACAGAGTGGCTGGAGAGCAGCCAGGCAGGAAGGGACCTGGGAGTGGGGATGGACAGGAAGCTGAACAGGAGCCAGAGTGTGCCCAGGTGGCCAAGAAGGCCAATGGATCCTGGCCTGGATCAGGAACAGTGTGGTCAACAGGTCCAAGGAAGTGATTCTTCCCCTGGACTCAGCGCTGGTGAGGCCACCCCTGGAGTGCTGTGTCCAGTTCTGGGCCCTCAGTTCAGGAAGGACATGGAGGGGCTGGAGCAGGTCCAGAGGAGAGCAACGAGGCTGGGGAAGGGACTGGAGCACAAGTGCTGTGAGGAGAGGCTGAGGGAGCTGGGGCTGTTCAGCCTGGAGAAGAGGAGGCTCAGGGGAGACCTCCTCACTCTCTACAACTCCCTGACAGGAGGGGGGAGCCAGGTGGGGGTTGGTCTCTTTTCCCAGGCAACCATCAGCAAGACAAGAGGGCTGGGTCTTCAGCTGTGCCAGGGGAGGTTTAGGTTGGAGATTAGAAAGAATTCCTTTCCAGAGAGGGTGCTCAGCCATTGGAATGGGCTGCCCAGGGAAGTGGTGGATTCTCCATCCCTGGAGGTGTTTAAGGACAGACTGGATGTGGCATCAGTGCCATGGGCTGGGAAGCACAGCGGGGTTGGATCAAGGGTTGGACTTGATGATCTCGGAGATCCCTTCCAACCCAGCTGATTCTGTGATTCTGTGATTCTAAGTCAGCCAGAACTGCCCCAACCAACTGCCTGGAGTAATGACCTGGACAACACTTCCCAGAGGGAAAGGATTCCCAGCTGGGGTTAATTTATTGGTACAACATCCACAGCTGGGAAAGGAAGTCTCCAGTTGTAATCCCAAGGTGGAAAACTCTGAGGGCCTGCTGCTAATGTGGGAATTCACAATGACAAGTGACAAACATTTATGATGCAGGACACAGACTTCCTTCTCCATTTTCCTCAGGATATAACTCTGGGCTACTGTGGTGGAGAAACTCAGATAATATTTAGATATCCTTTCTTACCCAGAGAACAGGCACAAGCAGGTGACACCCACAGGTCACCTGGAAAGTATGAGGAAAACACACTGATGCTCTTGGGCTTTTTTTCATGGCACCAAGTGAAATATCAGATCTAAAATGTAGTTATTGCTGTGTAGTGCAAATAAAGTGAACACACAGAAGTGCCTCACAAAGCAAAGCCTTTTTAAAGGGATATTTGGAAGAAATTCTTTACTGTGAGGGTGGTGAGGACCTGGCACACCAAAACATATGACTTGTAATCCTTGATAAGGCAACGATCCATTTTCTTCACAGCAGAACAAAAATCCTCAGGGAATATTTTTTTAATTATTTTTTCTTGTTATGTTTTCTGAGTCCACCTCATTTTCAATAAAAAACAGTCACAGATCCCTGATAGCCCTACAAGGAATGTCTTTTCTGGCTAGAAATTCTCCCAGGTCACAGGAGCAGCATTCCCTGGCTCTGGTGACATCTGGCTGCCAGAGGTACCAGAATTAAGAGCACTTCACTACAAGTGACATGGACATAGAAGAATAATAAACAAAATACAACAGCAGTCCTTTTCCTCTTCAGTTTTGGTCTTGTGCCTGAACTATCCCTTTTGAGCTTTGTAAATCAAATGAATTATTAATGGCCACATAAGAATGCAAATATTTTCCATCCTAAAGAAAACGCAAACGAAAGCAAGAAGATTAAAAAAATACTCTGCTCAACAATAAAGCCCCAAAGAAGAAATAATTAGAGCTTCGATGCAGATGTTTTTGTGGATCTTTCTGCTATAAAAAAGTACCCAAAAAAAAATTAAAAATTGTGTCTGAATTGAGCCAGCACTGTTCCCAACCTGCCCTCCTATTCCTGCACTCAGGTTAGACAAGTCTATTTACCAACCCCTCTGCTCTCAGTGTTCACCCCAGCAGAGGATTGCTGGAATATCTCCTGGAATAAGTGACCTGGAAAACACGTGATCCTCACCCAGGGAAGCAGACAGGCCACAAGCACCTGTGTGTGTGGCTGTAACTCCAAGCAGGAGCCTGAAACCTGATGCCAGGAAACAAGGATGACAGATGGGCCCTTTAGGGTGCTGAGCAGTTCGGGACAACACCTGATCCATGGCCCTGGGTGGTGATCCCAGCTTGTGGCAGAGCCTGTTCCATGGAAGAGCTCTGGAACCCCAGCAAACAGAGCAGATGTTTTGCTGCTGCCTACCCAAAGATATCCCAGCTTGCACATCTTCCCATTCCTGTTCTTTCCTGGAGGCAATGAGGTCCATTCTGTTCTCTCCAGTACCTAAAGGGGACTTAAAAGAAGCAGGAGAGGGACTTTCCACAAGGGCCTGGAGTAACAGGAAAAAGGGGAATGGCCTTAAGCTAAAAGAGGGCAGGGTTAGATGGGATATTGGGAAGAAATTCTTCCCTGTGAGAGTGGGGAGGCCCTGGTACAGGTTGCCCAGAGAAGCTGTGGCTACCCCTGGATCCCTGGAAGTGTCCAAGGCCAGGCTGGATGGGGCTTGGAGCAACCTGGGCCAGTGGAAGGTGTCCCTGCCCATGGCAGGGGGTCAGAATGAGATGATCTTTAAGGTCCCTTCCAACCCAAACCATCCTGTGATTCTGTGACTCTCTTCACCAAGGAAAGCACAGAGCACACACAGCACACACAGGGTGGTTTGGGTGGGAAGGGAACTTAAAGATCACCCAGTTCCAACTCCTGCCATGGGCAGGACACCTTCTACTAGACCAGGTTGCTCCAAGCCCCATCCAACCTGGCCTTGGACACTTCCAGGGATCCAGGGGCAGCCACAGCTTCTCTGGGCAACCTGGGCCAGGGCCTCCCCACCCTCACAGCCAAGAATTTCTTCCTAAAATCCCATCTATCCCTGCCCTCTGGCAGTTTGAAGCCATTTCCCCTTGTCCTGTCCCTCCATCCCTTGTGCCCAGTCCCTCTCCAGCTCTCCTGGAGCCCTTTTAGGCACTGGAAAGGTCTCCCTGGAGCCTTCTCTTCTCCAGAGTGAACAATCCCAGCTCTCCCAGCCTGGCTCCAGAGTAGAGGTGCAGTTCCCACCCACAGCCAGAGAAACATGCTCCTAAAAAATCTTATCAAGATATCTGCGGGTCTATTTGAAGCATAAAATAGAACTAAATCATTAACAGTGATAAATCTTAACAAAGAGATTACCTTTTTATTCCTAATAACATCACAACCCACCTGTTCTGCTTTCTATGCAAGAAACAGAAAGAACCACTCACCTCTTTTGAAGAGTCAGGTGCTCCCTGCAAGTCCTCTGCCTGAGCAGAAATGCTTTCTGTCACAAAAGCTATATGTTCTGCATTAAGTAACTTCTCAGGATAAATAAAGGGAGAAATCAGGAGGAAACTCCACCTGTTTAAGTCATCCAGGAACTGAAAGAAGCAGAAAAGTAAGTCTGTTTAGAGAGCAGCTGATTTAAGAATTCGTTTTTAAGTTAAGCCCAGCCTAAATTCAAATGTGAGCCTTCAGCCTTGCATGAAGGGTCATGGCTATTTCACATTCCCCATGAGGGAAAAAAAAAGGGGTAGAGTACTGAACCATTACCCAGGAACACATCAAAACTGAAACTAAAAGTGACAACCCACGTTTTTTAAGCCAATTCACACTCCAGCTTTCAGCTTTACAGGAAGAGTGGGAAAGAGTGGGCCACAAAACCCACTGTGCCATTGGCACTGGGACCCCTGTGGGCCATTTGCCACTGGCAACATTCCTCATCCAACCTGATCCTGCTCTCCCATTCCCACTGCATACTAAATCCTCCTGCATTTGCATCAGAATCCCTCCTTCACCACGTAACTCATAAAATATAAATAACTCATTCAAAATCAATTTGTCCATGAGTTATTCTATCCACTTATCAGGCCACTGGACTAATATTTTCTTCATTAAATTTTAAAAATGGTTCTCTCTCTTGTCCCTCACCGAGGAGCAAATAAAGCTCAAAAAAGCTGGAACCAGCAGACCAGCGAACAGGTTTGAGTTCTCTCCACACCAAATGTTGTTTCAAGTGAGGAAAACGAGATGAAAAATGAAAACCACGTTTTTTGCAAATGGGCAGTGGAAAAGGAAGGTAGGGGTGGCTCATGACAGTGGAAAAAAAATCTCAAACCTTCAGAATAATCTGTTCTTTTAAAATATTACATCGATTTCTAAGCAGATACTGCACTGAGCTTAATTTTCTGACATATTTTAAAAATGGCCAACATTAGAAATACATGTATTTTGCTCTACTACCGTGCTGGAAAGGCACACCTTCAGTCATTTTATGTAGAAAGAGAAGAGAATTTCCCCACAGCACACTGAAAACACGTTCATCCTCCACTCCTCAGATGAAACCCCAGAATATTAAGTCTGTTGGTTGAGTTCACTGCTCCAACCAGACTTTAGTGAGTACAGAAGCTGCAAGAGCAAACACTATTATCTTCCAGGGAAAGGGAACTGAAGTCAGGAAGTTTTATAGTACCTTAAAAACCCCATCTGGCTGAAGATCAAACAAAAAAACCTTTACAGGTTATGATTTATGACTTGCTGGTATCTCAAGCAAATCACTGCTCACAGTCCAGAGTCAGTTCTACCTACTCAGAGAGCAAAGGAGCTTTGCTGGCTGCCCAGAAGCCAAAAAACCATCCAAGTTAACCTTTTATCTGTTCACAGATGATGCAAAGAGCTGCACAGTGATGCTGCCTCTGTCTTTAACTCAAGGTCAGAGCCCTCGTGTGCCACACACCTGCCCCAGGGATTCTCAGAGCGGGAACTGCCAAGAATTTATTTTTAAGAGACAAAAACATATTGAATAACAGCCCTGACTTTATGCCAAACTTCATGCCAAGCTACAGCTCCCCAGAGGGCTTCTCAGCTCCCAATAAACCGAGCAGCTTATAAAATCAGTCTGCATGAACAACATTGCAGACAGAAAAAAATGTGCTTACTGTGCAAGGACTGAGGAGAAGCTGCTTCAGAAACGAGCAGAAGTGGAGCAAAGAACAGCAGAAATCAGTTGAAATACCTTCTACAAAACAATAATAATCCAGGGCAAGCGAGGCAAAACACAGTCAACTTTGTTTTGTTTTTATTGAAATATGAATTGGATATTTAACTTTGCTGTGAGGGATTCTGAGATTGCCAGCATCGCTTTTAAGGATGAAACAATCTGCTCATTAAACAGCAAACAGGTTGGTTTTAAATGGAACAAGCTCCATCAGCCTCTCTGATCCTGTTTTCCCTCGCTGAAAACATTCTCTTTATCCACTGAACTTGTGGAAAGCTTCTCTGCTTCTTAAAGAACCACACTCAGCCAGTGACACGGTTCACAAATCCATCTCAGTAATGCCTGTACCAACTGAAATAATTCCCACCAACACACACATAAACACCAGCAAAGAGCAGAGATCAACAATTCTGGTATTTAGTGACAAATGCAGACAAATCCAACGTTCATTTAAATAATTCAGACTGTTCTGGGCAGTGCCAGGGGAGTTCCACTTCTAAGCCTGAAAGTCAAGCAAGCTTAGTTTCAGTTTTGCTTCCTGCAATTCCAAGTGGAACTGGTTCAGGCACTGGATTTTTCCACTGTCCTGGGCTGCCACAGCCTCCCCCCCACCCTCCTCTCCCACTGCCCATTTGCAGAAAACAAGATTTTCATTTGTCATCTCATTTTCCTCACTTGAAACAACGTTTTGTCTGGGGAGAAGCTGCAAGTTCTCTGTAACCAAAAGCTCAGTTCAGATGCCACGACAGATCCAGCGACGTTTTAAACCTCTGACACAAATCTTGAACCACAAACACAGTTTATATTTTTAGACTAAAGCCTTATATGTGCTCAAAGTGTGTTGCTGATATGGAAGGAGGCTTTTCACAAGGGCCTGGAGTGACAGGACATGGGGAAATGGCCTTAAAGTGAAAGAGAGTGGGGTTGGATTAGATATTAGGAAGCAATTCTTCCCTGTGATGGTGGTGAGGGGCTGGGATAGAATTCCCAGAGAAGCTGTGGCTGCCCCTGGATCCCTGGAAGTGTCCAAGGCCAGGCTGGATGGAGCTCTGAGCAACCTGGGCTAGTGGAAGATGTCCCTGCCCATGGCAGGGGGTGGAATGGGATGATATTTAAGGTCCCTTCCAACCCAAACCATCCTGTGACTCTTTAAAATACCATCAAGCTCTGCCAGCCAAGCTCTTCTATAACCACAGCTGTCCTTACAAAGCTGCACCTAATACACACACACACACATATATAGACATATATATAGACATATATACATACACACACATATATAGACATATATACATACACACACATATTTTTATATATATATATACAGACACATTTTTATATATGTTATATATTTTATATGTATATACAGACATATATACATACACACACATATTTATATATATATACACACACATTTTTATATATGTTATATATATGTATATACACACATATATATACATATATACATACATACACACACAAATATTTATATATATATATACACACGTTTTTATATATGTAATATATATTTTATGTATATACACACATATATATACGTATATACATACATACACACATATTTATATATGTTATATATATTATATGTACATACACACATACATATACATATATACATACATACACACACATATTTATACATATATGTACACACATTTTTATATATGTTATATATTTTATATATATATACACACATATATATACGTATATACATACACATGCACAGCACATACAGCACCCCTCAGCCCACACCCCAGCTCAACAACCTCTAGCGAGCAGCGAGCAGAGGTAACTCCACCTGCACTAACACTCCCTGCGGCACCGCCTGGCTCTCCCTTCATCCACCCCCTGGGCTGCGACAGCACGGGAGACGCTCCAGGCGTTATTCCCCGCGATCCCAAACCCCTAAAGATAAAACCACGGCACCGCTGTCGCAGCCGCTGCTCCCCGGGGGGGCGCGGATGCGCATCCCCGTTGCCGTGGCAACGCGGGGACGCGCCGCATCCCCGTCACCGCGGTAACGCACCCCCTAAACCCCCCTCGGCGCGCCTCCCCGCGGCTTTATACCTGCGCCTCGCCGGTGAAGAACACCTTCCCGCCGACCCTGAGGCAGACGCGCTCCTCGGGGTGCGGCTGCCGGGCGCAGAAGGTGAAGGAGCAGCGGGAGCGGTGCAGGCTCCGCACGGTGCCGCGGACGAGCGCGGCCGCGCGCGGCCCCCGGCGCGCCCACAGGTACAGGTAGCACAGCGTGATCAGCATGGCGGGCGCGCGCGCCCCCCCGCCCCGCCCCGCGCCGGGCCGCGGCCAATCGCAGAGCGGGGCGTCAGCCGGGCGGGCTCGGTCCGGAGCTCTGATTGGCTGCCGGCGCCTGGCGCGCGGGGCGCCCCGCCCCGCCTTTCGTGCCGTCGCCCCGCCCCCTCGTCGGCGCTCAGTCGTGAGGCGGCGGTGCCGCGCTTCGCTTTGGAGGGTTTCCTTTCGCTTCGGAGGGTTTCCTTTCGCTTCGGAGGGTTTCCCGTCGGTGCGCGGTTGTGTTGTGAAAGGACGTGTAAAATTAATAAAAGCCGTCAAAAATCATTAAACGTGGCTTGGGGCGTTGTGTTTGCGCCGGGATAGTTGGTCCCCGTGCTCTGGAGGAGGAAGAGGAGGGAGGAGTAAGTGATGAACTCTCGCCCCGAGCGCCGCGATCCGGCGCCTCAGGGAATGGCGGAATGGTTTGGGTTGGAAGGGACCTTAAAGCTCATCCAGTTCCAACCCCTTGCCATGGGCAGGGACACCTTCCCCTGGCCCAGGTTGCTCCAAGCCCCGTCCAGCCTGGCCTTGGACACTTCAGGGATCCAGGGGCAGCCACAGCTTCTCTGGGCAACATGTGCCAGGGCCTCCTCACCCTCACAGCCGAGAATTTATTCCCAACATCCAATCTAACCTCGCCTTCCTTCAGCTTAAGGCCATTCCACCTTGTCCTGACACTACCTTTCCCTTGTCCAAAGTCCCTCTCCAGCTCTCTTGTAGCTCCCTTTAGGCACTGGAAGGGGCTCTGAGGTCTTCCCAAAGCTTCTCTTCTCCAGGCTGAACAATCCCAGCTCTCCCAGCCTTTCCTCCCAGCAGAGCTGCTCCAGCCCTGGGATCCTCTTGGTGCCTCCTCTGGACTCTCTCCAGCAGCTCCATGTCCTTGCTGTGCTGTTCCCCAGGGCTGGAGCAGCTCTGCAGGGGGGTCTCCCCTGAGGGGCAGAGGGGCACAATCACCTCCCTTACCTGCTGGTTACTCCTCTTTTAATGCAGCCCCAGATAAATCCTGCAGCTTCTGCTCTCCAAAGCATAGAATCACAGAATCACAGAATCACAGAATTGTTTGGTTTGGAAGGGACCTCATTCCAGCCCCCTGCCATGGACAGGGATACCTTCCACTAGCCCAGGTTGCTCAGAGCTCCATCCAGCCTGGCTTTGGACACTTCCAGGGATGGGACATAATTTTTTTTCCACTGTGCATGGCAGAAACAGATGACAATATCATTTGGAGGGTCAAATAGTTTAAGTTCTTTTCTACTTCAAGCTTAAAAAATTCCAGCCTAGTGCTGCTGCCACATCCTTTACTACAGAGAGAGGAACAAGGTCTCCAGTGGTCCTAACCTGGACCTAACATCAGACACTGCTCCTTTGTGTGACTTTATCTCATGCAGGAAGGCAAAATACTTACCTTGGGCACATCAAAGGAAAGAAAACAAACAAAGTATACAACCTGCAAAGAAAGCTCTCAACTTAGGAATTCACTTTCTCCCTTTTAGTTCAACAGCACATGCACTGCTGACCCTCAGAGAGCACCACAAAGGCACAACTGTTTGTGTAACCTTTGCACGAGGAGGAACTTGCTTTGCTTTATCCCGTGTTGGGATTGAATGCAGTTCACTACAGTTTTTCAGGTTCCCTTACCCTGGAAAAGCTCATGAGTAAATGAGAAAACTGAATCAAAACTTCATCTTGCAAGGGAATCTAAAGCAGAACAGTATACAGGCAAAAAACAACCCAATTTTAAGACAAGTTTTGACATATGTTGGCGCATAATTAATTTGGAGTCATTATGTTGTTGTAGGTTTTTTAGTTTTTATTATGGTGTAGCTTAGACTTAATCATGACAAGCTTTGATTAAAGGGTTAAGAATTTTAGACTGGAAATCAGATGATGATGATGATGATGATGATGATGATGATGATGATGATGATGATGATGATG